GAATTCATATAGTTTTTACTATGTTTTGAAACATTTAAAAACGATTTTAGCGCACTCCTTCCAATTATATCTAGCTTTTTCATCAGACCAGGATTATTTTCACATAGCTCCATACCATAAGTTAAGGTGGGGACTGCCAATGATTTATATATATAGGAAATAGAACTGGGGTGAGCAAACCGGATTCCAGATTGAATAAGAGTTTGAACAACAGCTCTAAAGTTTGATATTTTTTCATCAACATTTGAATAACCGAGTGAAGCAAAAACTGAATGTTTAGTATCCCATGTGAATCCCAGATGTCTAAGTTTATTCTGAAGATTTTTTTTATTACCAGAAATTGTTATTGTATTAGTTTGTATTTGGGCTTTACCTGAGATCAAGAACTCAGTCTTTTCGGCATTCAGTTTAATACAATTTAGATTACTGTAAATATTGCATGTTTTTATAAGCTTTTTGAGACCAGATAAGGTAGAGCTTAAAAGTATTATATCATCCGCATAGGCTACCACACCAGTAAAGTTACCGTTTATAGATGTGCCAACCATACCCTGATTTTTAATAGTTTCGAGAAGACTTTCAGTGTAAATATTATAGAGGTGAGGCGAAAGAATTGATCCTTGTCTTACTCCTTGGTTTAGAGGAAAAGAGTTTGATTTACAACCTTGATATGAGACTGTTGCGCTACTATTGTTATACAACGAGGAGATAGTGTTAACTATACATAGTGGTAATTTTTTATCGAAATATAATTTTTCAAATAGGATATTCCAGTTACAGCTATCGAAAGCTTTTTCTGCATCTAAAGAACATAGATACACAGGGGAATGGTTGCTGTTGTAATGTTTAATTGTTTCGCTTATTAGAAATTCAGCATGTAGCGTTGAAGAGTTAGCATTGAATCCAAATTGTAGGGAGTGAGTATCTCTAATATCCGGACATATAATTAAGATCAGGTATTCTAGAACCTTTGTAAAAATTGGTATAATACTAATACCACGATAGTTGCTTGGGCTATCTAAAGACTTTTTGTACGATTTAACAAGGGGTACAATAGTTGACGTCGACATTGATATTGGAGTCGATCCATAATTAATAGAGTAATTAAAAAATTTGATGAGCCATTTTGTTAAAGTATCGCACTTTGCGTATTTCAAATGTTCTGCTGAGATACCGAAAGAGTCAGGAGATTTTTTTAATTTTAAATTTGAAATAGCCCCAATTATATTTTCTTCAGTTATTGTTACATCATCATGTTTTGTACACGGGGGAATTCTCTGATTTTCTTTACGATGAGTTATTTTTGGAGTATTCAGTACTCTTTCGAAGTGGTTTGCGAATTCTGAAGTAATAGATTCTTTGTCTTTTTTATTATTTATGGTAAATAATCTAGAATTTATGTCTTTGTTTAAACATCTAAAAGCATTCCAAAAGTTTTTTGGTTTAGTATTTTTTAACTTTTCAATTTTAATATATTGTGCGCAAATTTTATTATTTTGAGCCGACTTGACGGCTTTACGAAAGTTTTTACGAGCCATTTGGTAACGGTTAAATGATACCGAGTTTAACTCTTTAGAAAAACCAGAATCTCTCCATTTTTTAAAATGAATTGAAAGAATAGTTTTAGACCGACTTAATTCAGGTGTCCACCAAGATTTTGAATACAAACATTGCTTTTTATTTTTTAAAGTCTCCTTAAAAGCTATTTGAGCGCTGTCAGTAATTTTTTTATAGATTTGGAGAAGGTCGTATTCATAATCGTTAGTAAAATTAAGATTGTTAAAGCGATTGGTTAAATGAACATTGTAAGAATTTATAAAGTTAGAATCGTTCCAAGCGTAGCTAGGTATATTAGTATCTTCTGCTAGTTCAATGGTATTGCATTCGGTGTACTTAACTTCAACTGATATTGATAGTGGTAGGTGGTCGCTCAAATTATTTGAGCATTCAGGATGAACAATGCATTTAAGATTTATAAAACTTGTATATTTTGATACGGCGAAGTGATCAATATATGACGAATTCGGTAGTGTCTGGTGTCGATATGTATAATTAGGGCCAGAACCTTTAGTTACATCAACTAGTTCTAATTGATTTGTTTTTAAAAATTCCGATAAGTGCACAGAATAACTATTTCTTTTAGAATTTGATCTTTCAAATAAATCATACATTTGGTGAGGAAAGGATTGGAAGTCACCTGCTAATATTATATTGCCGTTACCTTCGTAACTATCAATTAGCCCTTTAACAGTATCTAGTTGACCTTTATATTCTTCCAGAGACGAGAGGTTATTCCGCGATGAGGAGAGGTATAACCCAATAACTATAATATTAAGATTGTTTTTTTCGAAATTTATTGCTAAAATATGGTCGTCCTCGTAAATTACCCTTATATTTTGGAATTTATTTTTTCGTACAAAAAACGCATTTCCGCCAAACGGTCGGCCTTTTTCATGTTTATTAGACTGATGGAAATAAATGGAGTGTGTGTTATTAGATATATCCCTTATTACGGAGTATTCAAGTTTAGATATCCAATGTTCACATAAGAAAGTTATATCATAGGATTGTATAAGTGACTTTGTAAAATCAATGTTTGACTTAAGTCCCTGACAGTTGAAAGTACATATATCGAAAGTTGTTGAAGATTTGTTTTCTTCTCTTATGGTGCTTGGATCCATTTTCAATTAATATTTGTTATTCCCCCGTTGGATACCAGATGATCCACGTTAGAATATATGCGCTTTTTACGGAATGGTTTAATGATGATATTATTATCCCATAATGAAGGGTTGAAAATTTTATCTTTTTCTGAATTACTTACGGAGACTCTATACGATCTGTTGAATTCGTTTTCTCTGTTTAAAGTAATTGATATAGGCGTAACACCTAATTCAGTTTCCATATACAATTTCATATGTTCTTCGTTGATTCGATTGCTAACACCACCTATAAAAACTTCAAATCTACGAATTATTCGACTACCAGCAATAGTCTCATTTCCCGGAGTTTTCGTTCCAAATATAGGCTCCAATAACTTATGTTTTTTTTCTAAGGGTAGAATATTTGTTTGGCGGACAGGTTTATTATGTTTTCCAACTAAATTAAAACTATTCGGATTATCATCAATATTTGAAGGTTTTTCTTTAAATTGGTTAGTTTTGTCTGAGGTCTGTTGTTTTTGAGCCGCAACCTTTGCATATGTTTTGATATTATGCGGTTGGCTTTCTGTATAAATGCTTGCATTCGTTTTGCCACAAGGTTGTTGAAAATTACCTTTTGCAGCATTTGCGGTGACATTAGAATTTTTATTTTCGTTTAGTGTGTGGTAATTAAAAAGCTTATTTTCGCATTGGGCATAATAATCGGATTTTAGGTTTTCCGTATTTGCATTTGATACTTTGGGGATACTTTTAAATAACTTACCGCAAGAGTTATTAACGTTTTGTGTATCTTCAGCGATAGATTTTGAGCACGTGTTTTTATCGTGTTTTAAACTACTATTTATGTTTTGCCTCGGTTGATTTTTAAGAAATAAAAGGTTATCGTTAGATACTATTAGGTCTTGAATAAGCTCATTTTGTATACTTATTTTTTCTTTTAACAAACCTAATTCCACTTTTATTTCTATATTTTCGTTTTGGATTGATTTTGAAATTTGTAATAAATCTTTTAATGATGAAGTCAGAAATTTATCGTCTAAGTGCGCAGTTTCTATATTCTTGCAAGAGATTAATGTCTTTGAAATTTCTTTGTGCAACTGATTTTCGCATAGAGTTATCGAGAAGATAAATATATCTTCTAAACATTTGGTTGTTTTGTACCGTTTACGAAGATTTTTTTCCATTGGATTTTCTGAGTCTAACGTTACGTTAATCTCTCTGAATTGTTCACTACTGAAGCTATCCAAAACTTCAAAAAACAAACGTTCACGGACACTTCTTATTACATTTTCTTTCATTGAGTTTAAATTGTGTATTATAATATCTTTTGGGTGCGAACATATTTCTTCTAAATTCTTCAAAAAGTTGCATTCGAATGTGTTCAAATCTGAGTTCAGATATACAAATATCTCACTAACGGTGCGTGGTGCCATGTCGTATTGAAGTGTTATTAGATAATTAGTTCCACTTTAACATTAATCTTCATTATAATAAATATTCATAAATAGTTTTTGATAAATATTTTTATTAATTTTTTTCTTCTCTTGAAACACGTCTTACTCAAACAATACTCAATACTTTATACCTATTAAATATTAAAACCCTACAATTAATTTTTATTTAGTTTAAGAATTAAAAAATTAATTTTATTTCATTACAACAATACATGGGACCAGTGATCCAAATTTTTAGGTTGAGCTTGTTCCTAGCCTCCAATCATCGTATTTTTCTGTGAAACCTTATTATATGACTCCAGTATCGATATTACTAAACTTCTCTCCGAAAGTTATCGATCTTGAAAATCAAAAATCTAGGACTCGCTCGTTTAACCCCCCTTATTGAAGTAATATTTTTAAAATTTAGATAACTGTACAAGGAATGGCGGTTTAAAAAATGTAATCAGTTTTTGATGTACTTTTTGTTTTCGAGTGCAAGTTTTTTGATTCTTTTTTTCAGAAAAAAATATTTCTCAAAAAAAAAAAAGCGATTTAAATTAAAAACCTTATTTCATTTAATTAAATTTTTATTAAATGACATTTAACTAATGTGTTAACCAGTGGGCAGCGATAAAATTTTATTTTTGTGCCAATGTTTATCTGACATACATAATCATAGTTTATGCCCGGAAATCATTAATACAAATCGTATGATGTACTTATACGTCATGTATATATTTATTAAACATTCTTTAAAGAATAACAAATATAAATAGGATAAATTTTTGAAAGATATTTGCCTTAGCAAATAAATTCATAATAAAATTCTAAATTCAAAAATTTTGAAAACCAGCTAGCTAAGTTCAAATGTTCAAGGAGTGAGAAATTACAAAACAAAATATTATTACAAAGAGTGTAGTTCACAAAAAGTCCTTGACATTAAAATTTTTTTTATTAC